TCAAATTATCTCCAGAATCTGGCCTCTTCTCCCAAACCCCACTTTTCCCACCCTCCTCAAGACTCTGACCTAGATAATTGCAGGGGTGCCCTGACTGCTCCTCTGCTGTGTCCTCGCCTTCTGTGGGGTGAAGAATTTAACACTATCCAAAGTAATTACCCTTGTTTCCTGAGCAATATCTCTAAAACCTTGTAATTTCCTGAGTAACTGAGATGCCTTTGTTATCTAAACCATACCTGAGGGTTTGTGCTAAAGAGTGGAGGCTGGCTAAGCCAGAAAGACCAACTCATAGCCTGATACCAGCTGACCTGGGGGAGCATGATTCAATCAATTGTGCCTATGCAATCAGGCCCCAATAAAGGCTCTGGACTCTGAAGCACCATAGACTCCCTGGTTGGTGAAAGACATCAATGCACGTGGGAGGGTAGTATGCCCTTTGGTCCATGGAAAGCAGACCTCCCCCTATGGATCTCTATTTTTGTATCCATTTTTGTTATAATAAAGCTATAAATGTAAATATAACACTTTCTGTGAGTTCTGTGGTAGAAGGTTCCAATGAATTATCGAACCTGAGGGAGGAGTGGGAGCCAGCAGGTTAGAAGTGAGAGTGTTGTATGGACTCCCAAGCTTGTGGCTGTTGTCTGAAGTCCTAGGCCTACTTGGGATTCTGGAGAACTTGTGAAATCTGACCTAGTTCTGAGTGGCCAGGGTCAGAGAAAGAACTGCTGTGTGGGTAGCTGATGTCAGAATTGAACAGAAGTGGAAACTGGGCATTTTTTATATCCTCATAGCTGATGTCAGAAAAAGTATATATTTGATTTGGTATTTATCCATTTGCCTCTGCATGATCTCTTCTCAACACTGTGGTGGAAGAATGCTTGAGAAATACAATTGTCACTGCTCTGCTCAGAACATTCCTTTGTTGTTCCACCTCATGCAAAGTAAGGGCCAAAATCTTTATACTAGCCTCCAAGGTCCTGCTGGTCTGGCCCACCCTGGCCCCTCTGATCTCATCTCCTCCTACCGTATCTGCACCCTTCACTCCTGTCCCTCTTTGCTGTTCCTGGACGTTCCACTTATGCACCCACCTCAGGTCTTAGTTCTTTTGATCCCTGTCCCTGGAACACTGTCCCCCAGATCCCTACATGTTTTGATCCCTTGCTTCATCTGCGTCTCTGCTCAAATATCATCTTCCTATGAAGCCCTCCTTGATTACTCCTTCAAAATTGCACCCCCTCCACACTGCGTGCACTCCCTATCCTCCCCCACACTTAACTTTTATCCACATAACTGATCGTGTCCGATATACGTTTTGCCTGTATATTTGTTTATGTTTTGTTTTCCCCTACTAGACCTACAGTATAATCTCCATAAGGGCAGGAACTCTTGCCTGCTTTGTTTATTGCTATATCCTCAACACTTGAAACAGTGCCTGGCACATTGTACATGCTCAACAAATGTTTGTTAGATGAATCAATTGAAAATTAATAAAACTGGCATTCTGATTTTCACATCAGTTTTATGAGTTTGATTAGCACTTAGTTTGATAGCTGTACATGTACTAACAAAATAGTTTCTGGACCTCAAACCCAGGTAAGAACAGACCCTGAATCATAGGGCCCCCACCAACTAGCCCACCTTTGACATCTTTCTCTGACTTCCACAGAAGCAATGTACACTCTTCTTTCTTCCAGCAGCTGGCACCTCCTCCAAGAGCACTAAGCCACTGAGCCAAAGCTGTGGAACAGGGGGATCCTTTTGGATCCTTGTGCACACGAATTCATGCTAGTGCTTTTGGAGAAAAATACACTTGGAATCAGAGACCAACAGAAGAGGAAATGTGAGGGTGTTATAAAAGTACAGATGGAGAGCTATAGTTTTGTAGTTCTGAGAAAGTGACTCAGAGGTCATTCTGGACAATAATCTGATTGGGCTGGTCCTTCTATTCATTTCCCACAGTAACTTTACAATGGTGAGACCTGGCAAAGACATATGATGAGGGTTAGCATCATCAGTGATATCATGTGGATATCACGTATTCCTGATATGATGTGATGAGAAGGACGCTTCACATCTGGGGAATTCTTTCCAGAAATCCATAACCCCAGTCTAATCATGAGAAAACATCAGATGAACCCAGATTGGAGTTATCCTACAGAATGGCTGGACAGTACTTCTCAGGACTGTAAAGATCATGAAAAGCAAAGAAAGACTGAGAACCTGTCATAGACCATGGGGAGACATGACAATGAAATGCAGTGTGGTGTCCTGGACTGGATCCTGGAACAGAAATCATTTTTAGCTTAAAATCTGTAGGAATTTTGTATGAATGCTGTTGGACCATTATAACTGTCAGTTACATTTTCTAACAGACGTCGAAATAAATATATTAAGCTGAAACAATAATGTTTATTCCTAGACTTCATAAAAATCACCTTACGTGCCACTAGTAGCCTGGTACCTCACTTTGGGAACAACGGGATTCTCAAAGGCCTATCCAGGCTTATAGCACTTAGCAGAGGGCATGCTAATTATCCGGGGGTAGGGAGGTGGGATGGAAAGGAATTCCTAACAGAGTACAATGACAGCATCATGCCAATTTTACCTGAGGCATTAATCTTTCAGTAGAGTTTTCAAAAATGGTCTGTGTCCTCAGGCATCTGGGCCCCAGCACTTATACTTTTTAGTGCAGAAAGCACATGAAATTATACAGCTGCTAAGCTCATAAAAGTTAGCCAGACTCCAAAAAAACAAACCAAAGTCATTGCCATACTTGTTGCCATCGAGTCGATTCTGACTCATAGCGACCCTATAGGACAGAGTAGAGCTGCCCCATAGGGTTTCCAAGGAGCAGCCAGTGGATTCGAACTGCCGACATTTTGGTTAGCAGCCAAGCTCTTAACTATCAGGCTAGAGGATGACAAACTGAAAGGCAGAAAGGCCTCTCCACAACAGCTGTGGCTTCCAAGCTTTACAACATATCTTTAGAGGACCCAGCTGTCTGGGTGTTGTGTGTGTGGTTGGGCTTGCAGGCACATACTCACGCTCCCTTTAGCTCCCTGTAGGACCAATGTTTGGCTCCATCCAGTTGTTTCAATAACTGTCTTCCTGAGTCAGGCTCAAACCACACAATGTACTCTCTGCCTTTCTCCAGGTTAAAAAGTCTAGTTTATTCTTTGATGTAAGTCAGAGCCTGTCACTTTTGTGGCTCTTCTTCATTATACATATGACTGCCACAAGCAGAAGCCACATAGCTCAGAACGCTTCCCACCCACACTAAACTCTTCTCGGCAACAGTGGTGGAGTGTAACTTATACACGCACAGGAGTGAGCTCCTGTCTTCCAGGCCCTGCACCACTGTGAGGGCACTGCCCTGCCCTCCTAGCAGCCCTGCCTCTGCTGGGTGTGGTCCATCCGCCCTGCTCTTTCCCGAACTCCAGGGGTTCATCTACTCCCTGAGGCTGTTGGGTGTGTGGAGCTCACCTGCACTCCAAGCCCCCCAGCTAAGTCCTCCTGGTATCTTTGACCCTCACCTGGGACCTGGGACATAGACGGTGTGTGTAGGCTCTTTTGAGAAGGAATCAGGCTGGTGCTGAGAATAGTGCAGTGATTCTGAGCAGAAAAGTTGGAGAGTATATGTTCAAGGGAAGGAGGAGGGTTGGAAGCTGTAAGAAAAGCAAGGGCTCCACTGCTGCCCAGTGAAGACGACCTGTCAGCAGGTCCTGAAGACTGAGGGATATAGTCATCAGAGTGCAAGGATTCTGAAATTTACTCAAATGATGAAGAGTGTATTTGTCAGAGTTGAAAATCTCCTTCATGTCCTGCTTGTTGATGTTGTTCACTGCCAACGAGTTGGCCCCCGACTCATGGTGACCCCATGCACAACAGGGATGGACCATTGTGATCCATAGGTTTTCAATGACTGATTTTCCAAAGTAGACTGTCAGGCCTATCTTACTACCTTATTTGTTTTAGTATCTGGAACATTCAAATGCTCTGCCCCTCCTCCTAATTTCCTTATCTTGTAAAATGACATCAGTATCTGTGTAGTGTCCCGAGCTGAAAACTTGGGAGGTGCCCAATATCATGTTTCTCATGGGGAGCCACCAATGCCTATCTATTTCACCGCCAGGCTATTTTCTGAACTCCCTTACTTATCAGCTCTTGCCTGGATCACGCAACCGTCCTTACAGTCCCTGCCTCTCGTCCAGTGTCTGTTGTCAGAATTAAGGTTTGGACACCCTGATATGGTTGTGCACCCCCCACCTCTTACAGTGCTTTCAGGTGAGGCCAACCTACTGGCATGGCACTCAAGGCTTTTTGCAACCTAGTGCTATCACCTTCCTACCTTGGCTCCTGCCCCACCCGCTCCATGGGGCTTGCTTTCTGGCCACGGTGAACTACTCATCCTTTCCAGAACACTCTACCACCTTTCCACACTCTGCTCCAAGAATGTCTGCATAACTCCTGCTTGTTACCCTAGACCTGACTCCAAAGTTACCTCCTTTGAAGACCTCCAGGGCACACCTGGCAGTCAGTCAGTCATGGTCTCTTTTGTCCAAGATTCTTCTAGAGCACGAATCCTATTTTATGACAACCTTGTTTGTGGTCTTACAGAAAACTTCTCAAAGGCAGGGCACGTCCATGTGCCTGGTACACAACAGCCGGTGACTACATATTATAAGAATACATGGATGTGACAAATGCACATATGCACACATGAGCCAAAATTCGGCTTCAAGGAGAGACCATTTCCACATGGTTCCTAATCAGGGATGCTAGTTCCAACTCCAGAACAGCCTGGCCCTGAGGAAAGGCCAATGCTAGATGCTGGTTCCCTGAAAGGGAAAGGCTGAAGAATCACTTGGGCTCAGAGGTGCTGCAGAGCCTGCAGGTGCATCCCATGATCAAGATCCCTGTGATGTGCACAGCTTTACAAGGAGGGGGACTTGTGCTGGTGTTTCCCAGATGACTTTTGGAACTAGTGCTCAGGAAGACTTGATGTCAAATAAGTTAATGGAATGTTGAGGTAAACAAAGTTAAGGAGGCATCTTTACTGTAGAATGATGGAGCCTTTAATTTGCTACTATACATGTGAGTCTCTGAGGACTGGACAGGGAATGGTGATAGTGTTTCCCAAACATACTGACCAGAGAGCAACTAGGGTACTATGGAACCCACTTTGGGAAACACTAGCCCAAACTAGTGGGTTTTTACTGAGTAACAGATGAAGGACCCAGAGCAAAGGATTTGTGTATTACTCAATAATCATGGTCACTCTAAAATATGTAGATCAAGGTCAAATGCTGTCATTGTCAGATCAGGAAAAAGGTGACATCTTTATAGAATCAAAAACTTTTATTCAGAACAAGCATTAGCAAAATGAAGGTGGTTGCCTCATAAATGCAGGGCCACAGAGTACTTAGGAAGGATTGGAAAAAAATTATAAGAATATTTTGCTAGATTAAAACAGATAAAAATAAAATGAAGCTACAATAATTAGATATAAAATGTTGCTCTAAGGGTGAAAATCTTCACACTGTATGCTTTCTCCCTTGCGGGGTAGCAGGCCCAGAGCCCCAATGCTACTGTCACCGCACAGCTCGCATCCAGTCCAGGTCCATAATCCAGTGTCACTGGACAACCATCAGCCTTTACTGTATAAGCCAGCTAAACATGGGAAATCAAATGCAGAATTTTCATGCTAAGCACCACTGTGGCTTCTCATTGCTTTAGAGAGATTTGATTAAGAGCTTATAATTCTTCAACTAGGACTTTCACTGGAAGGAGTGATAAGAGCATTCCAGGAACTTCACTCGGATGGCATCTCACGTTTCAACTTGTAGAGTCTCAAGAGGCATTGGTCCCGCCACTTCCTTCTGGCAGCCAAGTGCTGGGGGTCATCAGGAACCTTCTCACACATGGCCTGGGAGATGAAGAGACAAAAAGGGGCTCAGTAATCAGCAGGAGGAGAAGTGCAATTGTTGTTCTTGTTTACTCACACTGCAATGATTCTGTTTTTCAAAGACAAAAGAAGAGTAATAAACCCTCAATTAACATAAGCTCTCCAAATTCCCAGAGACCTAAGCTTCCTCAGAGACAAGTCGAAATGAGCTACTACTTCATTAGTCATATGGTCTCCTGGCTCCTGGTAACCGTAATAAACCCTTTGCTGTTGAGTCGATTCTGATTAACAGAGACCCTAGGACAGAGTAGAACTGCCTCATAGGGTTTCCTCCAGGATTCAAACTGCTGACTTTTGGGATATCAGCCGAAGCTCTTAACCACTATGTCACCAGGGTTTCCGGTAACCATAATGGAACACTGTATGGACAAAGTTAGGCATGAGGAACTATCAAAGTCAAGTGAGAAGGTTTCGGGTGGCACAGGCGAGGGGACGGCAAGCGTTACCATTTCACCCCCAGAGCTCTCGGCCACAAGTCTGCATACCTGATTAACTTTTTGAACTGTCGCCCCAGAAAACTCTGGGATGGGTCCAAAAGTCTTTAGGACATGTCTCATGCTTTCACTGTATCTGTCACAGTAGCTCAGCATGCCTGCAATCACATGAAAACAAGAGTGCGCAATGTCAGCAGGATGGGTTCAGATGAACTACATTCTTCTCTTTCGATGGATTAAAAAAAAGGCCTAGTGTCCCACCTGTCAGCTCAGGTCTCTGTCTTATGGAGACCTCCAGTCAGGCCTCTAGTCATTTGCTGAATATCACATGAAGCCACCTGTTCACCAAAAGTGTCTCCTTCAACGACGTATCTATAAGACTACTTGTGTAAGTGCCGTGAATGCGTTTTCTAACCACCAAAGACATCAAAGCTCAATGAAATCTTTTATGCATTTACTCTTATCTTGTGAATGCTATTGTTGGGTGCTGTTGAGTTGATTTTGACTCACAGTGACCCCATGCGACAGAGCAGAACTGCCCCATAGGGTTTTCTTGGCTGTAATCTTTATGGAAGCAGATCGCCAGATCTTTCTCCTATGGAGCCCCTAGGTGGGTTCGAACTGCCAACCTTTCAGTTAGAAGCCGAGCACTTAACTGTTTGCACCACCAGGGCTCCTGTGAATGCTAGTTTCCACTTTATTGTGTGTCTACAGCATAGCAAGGGGGTAAAATTTTCGTCTTCCATGCAAGAGACCTGGGTTGATTCCTGGCCAATACATCGCATGTACAGCCACCACCCATCTATCAGTGGAGGGTTGTGTGTTGCTATGATGATGAACAGGTTTCAGCAGAGCTTCCAGACTAGGACAGACTAGGAAGAAGGGCCTGGCGGTCTACTTCCAAAAATCAGCCAGTGCAAACCCTACGGATCACAATCATCTGATCTCATTGTGCATGAAGTTGCCATAAGTTGGGTTGACTCCAAGGCAGCTCACAACAAATAGCACACCTGGCAGGCACTTTAACATATGGCTATTTGGTCTGAGAGGTAGGCTTGGAGAGTTCACACCAACCTAAGCCGTGGTCAGTAGACAGAAGGCTGGGCTGGGAGCCCTGGGCTATGTCTGCCCCCGGGCACACTGTTCTCCACAGCTTCTGCCATTTCCTAGCCCGCTGGGGCACCAATCCATTTCTTGGATGCTAATGATGGGGTCCTAGGATTTTGGTGGGAACTCGTGAAGAAAAGGCTTATCCTGATGGTAGAAGGGAAGAGGGGAGAACAGTGACTTCAAAGTTGTTGTGAGGGCTCTCTGTGGCTGAGGCTAAGGCTTCCTTTTAGAATCAGACACTCACAGAGGACACCCAAGGCAGGCCAAATGCTCCCTGCCTCCACCGGCAGCAGGGCTTGCCCAGCACCTCCACTCCCAGCAGGCTTCCCCAAATTCCATCCCCGCACCCCGGGGATGCACAGGCCAGCATGAAGGCACGTGCTTGGACACAAGTCAAATCAAAGCCAGCGGGTCTGAGAACCACAGAAAGGAGGAGTCTGTGCGCTGTGCTCTGCTGAGCTCAAGATGAGCCTCCCACTGTTCTGCCTCTGGCCGATTTCCAACATATTTCAAACTTAGAAAGATTCAGCAATTTGTTCCTCCATTAAAAACATAACAAGGGAACAAACGAAACTGCAGAGTCTGCAGAGACCTCAAAGCTTAGCTGTCACCTATCCCCAAAACGGTGTATGCGCAATGTAAGATATCAGCGCTAGATACAATTTTACAAAAAAAAAAAAAAAAAAAAAAGGAAAAGAAAGGCAAATAAACAGCTTCTTCTGGGTTTAGTTTTGATCGACCTACACTGAATGTGAAAAGCCTGAATTCACTGGGTTTCAATTTTATTTGCCTCAAATAGTTTTCCTTTTCTTTCGGTGTGCTAAAATAACAACTATTTTGCTCTTAGGAGAGAAATTGTTTTGACGGGTAAAAAATTCAAAACATACCAACTCTTCTGACATTGTTGTTGTTGGCTGCAGTGGAGTCGATTCCCACCACTGGCAACCTCATGTGCACGGAGTAGAACTGCTCCATAGGTTTTCCATGGCTGATTTTTCAGAAGCAGATTGCCAGGCCTGTCTTCCAAGGCACCTCTGGGTGGGTTCAAACCACCAACCTTTTGGCTATTAGTCAAGAGCGTAACTGTTTGCACCACCCAGGTACTCCCTTCCCACATTAGCACTGGCAATTAAGTGGTGGCTACTCTCTTTTAAAAATAAGGACTTTCATTTAATGTAAGTGTAACTTGAATTCTGGAATTCAGAATTCTGGAAGACTCCCTAAATGTTCCAACACTGACTAGTTATTTTAAATGGCTTAGAATTTCTGGAGGAAAAAAAAGAAACCCTAATTTCTTCCAGAAATTAAGTATTTACTTCATTTTAGCCATTTGTTTATATACTCATACTAAAGATGATAAAAGGAAGACATAATTACAGTTTATTCCTTCTGGGGGTGGGTGAGTAGAGATATGAGGAGGAGCCTTGGTGGCACAAACAGTAAAGCACTCAGCTGCTAATTGAAAGGTTGGCAGTTAGAACCCACCCAGCAGCTCCCCAGGAGAAAGACCTGGCAATCCGCTCCTGTAAAGATTACAGCCTAGGAAACCCTATGGGGCAGTCCTACTCTGTCACATGAGGTCACTGTGCATCACAATCAACTCAGTGGCACCTAACAACAACTTACAACAGAAATATAAGAATCAAATAAGTAGGAAGTGTCCAAAGATATTAAATGAGAGGAACATGAGCCGCATATCCCTTGGTGGTGCAAACAGTTAAGCGCTGGACTCTGAGCCAAAAGGTTGGCAGTTTGAACCTACTCAAAGGTGCCTTGGAAGACAGGCCTGGTGTTCTGCTTCTGAAAAATCAGTCATTGAAAACCCTATGGAGCAGTTCTACTCTGCACACATGGTGTCGCCATGAGTTGGAATCCACTCGACGACAACAACAACAATAGGAAAAACAGTATCTCCTTGTCCCTCCTCTCCTAAGTGAGTGGAAGTCAGCCATGGGATTCAATTCATGTATGCATTTTATCTCTGTATTACTTCACATTTATGAACAAGTATTAATCTTTCACTGTCCCTGTGAAGTCATTCAAATCTCCCAGGGGCTTTCTAAAGCATCTTCCCCTTTTGTAAACTTTGTAAAGTTTTAAAAGGGAATTAATTTCTTCAAAATAGAATAAAATATGGTGAAACTCTATGTATAATACAATTTATAATTTCCCCCCAATTTGTTCAGGAAACCAAATAAAATGTCCATTTTACTGATATAACAACACTTCCTGTAACATACACTCAAGGCTCTCTGGACAAATAGCCCCATTGTTTGTGGTAAAGTTAAAGCACCAGTGTGGCTGGTGCTCCTTACAAGATGATTGCTGACCAGCCCATGTTAGTATGTAGAGAAGTCTGATCCATTTCTGAGTCCTGAACAGGTGAGGGCCAACATCCTGGAGATGCCTCTGGCCTGATCTCCCCTCATGAAGGCTTTCCAGTTGTTTGAAATGCAAGAAGCTCATGATAACTTAAGCTGCACTGTGCTTTATTAGTTACAACAATGTCTCAGTAAATTTATGAGTACTATTATGTCCAACATGTCCCCTTCCATTTAGAAGAGTATAAAAGGAGCATCTTACTTTGTTTCCAACAATAATTGTGGCTTCTCTACACCATGAAAGAAGACCTGAGTGGGAATTACTCGATTTTATCTCATCAGAGATGAAACAAACTTCACCTTTTATCCCTCTAGTCTGTTCTTCCTATACTTCTATAAAACTTAGCCTTCCCCTGTATTTCTTCTCCTATGCTTCCACGCCCTCTGTTCTCTTCAGCTCTATTCTTCCAAAAATCCTCACCAAGCTAAGCTTTTTAGAAGAATTTGAACCTATTTTCTTAAGAGATGCTTATAAGGAAAAAGAACTGAGATCAGATTTAGCTTATCTTGCTGTTTCCTAATGTGGACTCCTTCAGCTGAAAGCCCCTGAAGGTGACAAGGTGCACTGTCTTGAACCTGCAGTGTACCCTGACGGCGGAGAGGCAGTAGACCAGCCTTCCCATTCACTCTCACGGAGCAGGCCTGCTGCAGGTGGCTCCATCCTTACAGACCCATCACAGATGTAATCAGTGGCTGTGGGCACTTGGGGTGAGGGCGTCACGTGAGCTCTTGGTGTTCAGTGTCTCAGAGACCTCTGATGGTTACCCATACCACACAGCCTGTGAACCCACACCTACGTGAGTTCACCTGCTTTTAAGAGACAGGGTTTCACAGATAGGTTAAGGGATATCAAAAAGGCCTCAAAGCACAGAGTGATGATATCCAATTCTTCCTCCAAGTATCCAGTTCCTCCCTGAGTGATGACTCGCCCAAGGTCAGCAAGGCAGGTGAGGCAGAAACCTACCTGAGGCTCTGACCTCACACAAATGATCAGCTGACACTCCCACCTGCAAGTAACAGGTCCAGTAAATGAACCAAACCATCAAGGAGGCATCTCGATGAAAAAAAAAAAAAAAAGTACACACAAGAGATGAGTCTGTGAGGCAAAATGGTCACCATCCACTTCATATGGAGGTGATTTCAGGCACTGCTGAGTCCTGAGACGGTTATTTTACAGATGGAGAAAACTTGGCAAGAGCCCAGGTGGCTACCAGGTCTAAGAAGATTGAGCCCCCCTAATGCTAAGCAGTTGTCTTTGCTAACCTGCTAGTATAAGGGCCTAACAGAGACACACAAACCAAGCAGTTAAGTTCTAGGTACCTGACTCTGTAGCTTCTCTATTGCACAGTGAAAGTATCCGAATCTGTGTTTTTTCTGTATTTTTCTCTCATATGTTTATGACTCTTTTTAGGAGGAAAAAAAAAACAAGGGAAGAGTAGTGGATTAAACAAACAAGACAAAACTATGAATATAACATTTATTAAGCACTTAGCATATGCCAGCCATTCCACTAAGCGCTTCCATCTGGCTTCATTCTCACAATACCCCTGTAATGTAGTCATAGCGGTTATCCCCATCGTACAGACTGCAAGCTGAAGTACAGTGAACTTTGTAACTTGCCCAAGGGTATACAGCTAGTAAGTGGGAAGGCCAGTGTACAGCCCAGGCAGACTGGCCCTCCAGCCCATACCCATGCCATTACAGCATCTGTCCCTCATATACGTCTCTTCTAAAAAGTAGTCAGAAGGTGAAGTAAGCAAGCTGGACTCCTGTTTGTCAGGTAATATTAAATTAAAAACAAACCCTAAAATATTTTTACTAGTTCTAGATAAACTGTAGCTTATAAGACTAATAACTACCTTTAACCTGAGATGCTAGCTTTATGAAAACAATATCAGACAAAAAGAAGAGTTCTGCTAACTCCAATCTTGATATATTCTGGGCAACATTGGACGAATAATGAGCATTTTCATTGACTCCCAGCCAGATCTTATAACTGTCTGACTCTGGTGTTTGGAATGCTCTGAAGTTGAAAACTACATCCGTCCACTATTATCATATTAAGCCTGTTAGGTTTTCTTATCACATCTACTTTGTTTTAAAAAATTGTTATGGGCCTCTTTCCTGTCTGCCACACTATTCTCTTCTTGAGTTTCTTGTTTCATTGCTTCTGTTTCTATTTGTTTGAAAGTCAATGCTGTTCTCAGTTCTCTCCCTATTGATTTCTTATGATACCTGGATTATCTTATTTTTCTCAAGTAAACAAAAAGAAAGAAAAAGAAAAGAAAACATAGTGGTTATCAGGGACTGTCTATGTATATTTCAAATCCTTAAATATGTTCACCACCTTTCAGCTTCTGGTTGAATAAATATTTGGAATTATCCAAGACTTTGTTTCAATAATGCTTCAAAACTCTTGTTTCAATTTTATGTGGGCACCTTACTTTATAATATTCTCCTATGTTCAATGGTTGTTCTGCCACACAACTAATATACTAGTTTTATATTGCATTGGGCAAATCTACTGCAAAAGACCTCTTTAAAGCGTTAAAAAGCAAAGATGTCCCCTTGAAGACTAAGGTGCGCCTGACCCAAGCCATGGTGTTTTCAATCACCTCATATGCATGCAAAAGCTGGACAATTAATAAGGAAGACTGAAGAAGAACTGACACCTTTGAATTGTGGTGTTGGCAAAGAATATTGACTATACCATGAACTGCCAAAAGAACGAACAAATCTGTCTTGGAAGAAGTACAACCAGAATCCTCTTTAGAAGCAAGGATGGTGAGACTACGTCTCACATACCTTTGCCATGTTATTAGGAGGTATCAGTCCCTGGAGAAGGACATCATGCTTGGTATAGTAAAGGGTCAGCGAAAAACAGGAAGATCCTCAAGGAGATGGACTGACACAGTGGCTGCAACAATGGGCTCAAGCATAACAAGGAGTATGAGGATGCCGCAGGACCGAGCAGCGTTTCATTCTGTTGTACGTAGGGTTGCTATAAGCTGGAACTGGCTCGATGGCATCTAACAACGACAACATAGAACTAGGAGAGATTCCCCTTTTTCTTCAGTTCCTCTTGGCAAAGTCTTGACCTTAAGGAAAATTCAAGTCAAGAAATAATATGTGTACTTGCTATATGCAAGAATATGTCTAGTAAAAGTGCCTTGAATTAGTCACTGGAAATTACACTTCATTTATTACTATGGTTAAAAATTAACTGAATTATTACCAACAAGTTGTGAATTATAGAATTAAAGTCAAGCAGACTCCAAGAGGTCACCCACTCCATCTTCCCACGGCAATGCAGCCATCTCCACTAAACACCCCTGATAGGTGATCAAACAACCACCACTTGTTCAACTCACCCACTCAGAGCGTGGGCGTGTCCTGGACATCAGCTCCAGTTACTTCCTGCATTGCACTGAGCCCAAACCTTTTTGCCTGCCATTTCCAGTGATTCATTCTGGTTCCACCTCCACAAGAGACATGGACAGACAGACACAAACACACACACACATACACACCCTACACTGGTTATCTTCCTTTGGATAGGCTCTAGATTATCAGTTATTGTTGTTAGGTGCCATAGAATCAGTTTTGACTCATGGTGACCCCACATGACGGAGTAGAATTTCCCCATAGGGTTTTCTTGGTTGTAATCTTTACAGGAACAGATCACCAAGTCTTTCTCCCGTGGAGCTGCCAACCTTTGGGTTAGCAGCAGAGTGCTTAATGATTTTCGCTACCAGAGCTCCTCTTAAATGTGGACTCTGGAAGTGAATATTCCCTTTCTCTTGTCTACATATGTTTAAAACTTAATAATATTAATAAAGTTATATTTATCATAGAAATTTATTTTTTTAATTTTTTTTATTGTACTTTAGATGAAGGTTTACAGAACAAATAGGTTCTCCTTAAACAGTCAGTACACTTATTGTTTTATGACATTGGTTAACAACCCCACGACATGTCAACACTCTCCCTTCTTGACCTTAGAGGACTTCTTTTTCTTTTTGGTGAAAATATACATAGCCAAAGAAACACATTTCAAAAATTTTATTGTAGAAATTCATGACAGCACAGAAAAGCAAAAAGAAAATAAAGTTTACTTATAATTTTAACACCAAGAGGTAATAACATTTTGTCATACATCCTTCCAGATTTTTTTATATGGCTTTTTGTTTTGTTTTGTTTTAATCTGGTATAGGTTTTATTGCTTGTTTGCTTTTCAAATGACGTTTTCTTTCAAGTCACTTAAAATTTGGCTGACAGAGTTTCATTCTTGGAAGCTTCTCGTCCTTCTTAAGTCATCTTTCTTTTAGAGTTACCAGCTCCTGGGCTCATGCCTACTTTCCCCCAAACCTTTTGAAGTCTGCTTCTTGGGTAACCGTCTGCCTTGCCCAGCTAATCATGCCCTTCACCAACCCTTTCTCCTTGGAAACATGTCCCTCATTGCTCCCTTAAGCCTCCCTAAAGGGGAACCTGCAGTCAGCAAATCACAACTTAGGAGCTATGCATCTGGAGGCAGAAGATATGCCCAGCAGAGGTTCAGGTGGGTTACATCCCTAATTCCATCAGTTTTTTTCTTGCCTCTATAATTTTATCATCCTTAACAGGAAAATACAGCTGCCTCCTCTGTCGGGCTGGATAGTATGCAGTGAGCTCTCCATCACATCACCTGTCCCCTTCTCTCTCTAATCCTGGTCTGCACTTTCTTTCCCACCCCCAGATCTGTTTTCCACGCAAGCCTAGGTATCAGTGCGCAGAGCTCTGCGTCCAGGCCGTGCGTGTGAGTTACCAGCACTTGACACTGTCTCCTATACATGGTATTGTTTCCATCGAGTTGTAAGGAGAGGCAAAACTGGACTGTTCACAAACTCATGAAAACACCGAGAAGCACTGGATTCTCATCTTAGCTCCAGATGGAACAAACAGTACCTTCTGCATTGAGATGCATTGTCTCCAGGGGCCCAACGAATGCATACCGCATCCCCAGTCCATCTGACATGACAAGGTCCAGGTCACTGGGAGACACTACTCCCTCCTAAAGGAAGAAAATAGGGCAAGGCAGAGGCGAGTTATTGGAAAGGCAATTCCATTTACTGTGATTATCATCCTAACTTCTTTAGGCTATAATCCCCAAATACCCTCCAAAACAGTATTTTGATAGAATTTTGCAAGACAAAACTATAATATATAAAGAGATCCTGAAAAGAGTATTATTTTGTGAGATGGTCTAATGCGAACTCACCTTTTCCATACTCGTAATCAACTTCTTTCTACCTTAAGGGACCCACCTCCACTGCCGTCCCCAGTCTCCACCGGGCAACTAATACAGCATTTGCACTTTGTTGAAGGGGGAGAGACTGGAGGGGAAGGGCAAGCAGGATGTCTGTATGTTTGCCTTAGGGTCTGGGGGAGGAAGATTAAAGCTACTGAAAGACAGGAAAGCTGCTCTCCCGGCTTCACCCACCTGCAAGCTCAGCCTTGTTCAGCTGTTACTGAGTTTGTAAAGAACTGATGTTATTTTATGAAATACAGTTCAGAACCATGAGTTTGTTTGCAAAGGTGGGGCCCTAGACTCTTCTGCAAGTGTGAATTGCAAAGCAAGAGGCACGATGTTGCGACTTCAAGTTAGGTGTCAAACTGGCCAGAGTCTGTGTTAGTTGGCAGCATTCTTTACACAACCTCTCCCTCAAACTCCTTTTGGAACAAGGCAGAGAAGCACAAACACACACGCGCATGTCAGCTCACTGCAAGGCAACACCCCCATCTAAGGACGTTTTCAATTTGGGCACTGTCAGACGTTATTGTATTTCCCCCTGCATCTTCACAAAATGAGTGGAACCTGCAGCTCCAATTCTTGTTCCCTGAATGGTTCCTTTTACAGACTGAGCCTTGTGGGGACAGCACTATGAGGGCGGGCTGATGCCTCTCCCACAGCCCTCTTCCTGCCACCCCCTTCAGCTGGCCAGAGGAGAGCTCTTCTGGGAACACTCAGCTCTGCCCACAAATGAGGGCACAGCTACCAGGCTCCAGGTCTATCAACAGGCTCGGACAAGTGGGATAGCATGTCTTTACACTTGGCTATAGGGCAAATTCTTTGCCTTTCCTTGAAAGGGCTGTTCATTGTCCTGTTTAAGAGGGTGTAGTGCAAACGGTTAAGTGTTTGGCTGGTAACCAAATGGTAGGCAGTTCGAATCCACCAGCTGCTCCTTGGAAACCCTATGGGGCAGTTCTACTCTGTCCTATAGGGTCGCTATGAGTCAGTGACTCTGGCAATGGGTTTTTTGGTTTTGGTTGTGTGTGGGAGGAAACCTTCATCTGCCCTTCCCTTCAAGCCACAGCTCCACTAAGACCCACAGTCGTAGGGAGGAGTCACTCTGCCCTCCAGCCCCTCCACACGTGGGGAACTGGAAGCTAGAGCTCCCTCTGCTGTTCCTCCTCCTCCTGTAAAAAACAAAAACAAAAACAAAAACATCAGCTGCCATGGAGTTGACTGGACTCATTGAGACTCCATGTGTGTCAGAGTAGAACTGTGTCCCATAGGGTTTTCAATGGCTGATTTTTCAGAAGTAGATCACTAGGTCTTTCTTCCGAGGTACCTCTGGGTAGACTCGAACTTCCAACCTTTCGGTTAGCAGCCACATGTATTAATCGTTTGCACCCCACCCAGGGACTCCTTCTCCTCCTTCACCTGGTCTAACTTCCTTACTTTGCAGACTTCAAAGTCAGCCATCACCGATCACCTAACAGGCTGAGAGAAACTGGAGATTTGATCACACCACCACTATCACTTGCACCCCAGCTGCTGAGGAAAACACAGAGTTGTCTCAAGGTTTATGTGCTTGTTTCAGCCACTCTAGTTCACATATGGAACCCTGGTGGCACCGTGGTTAAGAGCTTGGCTGCTAACCAAAAGGTCGGCAGGTGGAATCCACCAGGTACTCCTTGGAAATCCTGTGGGGCTGTTCTACTCTGTCCTATGAGTTGGAATCGACTTGACGGCAACGGGTTTGGTTTAGTTCATATATAGGTCACTCTGTGGTAATATGAGAGTGGGGAAGGGTGGGAGGGCGATGTGGAAAGAGGATGGAGCTGAAAGAATTTTGAAAAAGAAGGCACTCACATATAATTTACATACAATTGGGAAACTTCATTATTCAAAATCATATTCCATTTAGTTTTGTTTGCATGTGAGAGAGCTAAAACATACAAAACTGTACACAAAACATGTACATATGGTTTAAAGCATAGTTACAAAACCACCACCCCTGGAACCACTGCCTCCTACCTCTTCCTGATTATAATCTCGTCCCTCCTTCCCAGAGGTCAATATCCTCACTGTCATAATGACCATTTCTTTACTTTTAGTATTTGCCATCTATGTTCACATTCCTTAACAAAAGAGTTTACTTTTTGCCTATTTCTAATCTTATTATAAATGGAATCACACTGTATGTACTCTTCTTACCTTGCTTCTTTCACTCAACATTATCATTTTAAGATTCACCTATGTTGTTGTGTGTAGCTGTGGTTTTGTTCATTCTCAATGATATACAACATATCACAATTTACTTACCAGTTCTTCTGCTTATGAGCACGTGTGCTGTTTCCAGTTTGTGGCTATGGTAAACAGCGCTTCCATGAACATTCTCATTTGTGTCTGAGGTGGGACTCTGGGTCACAGAGTACGCACATCTTCAACATTACTAGATAGTGCTAAACTGTTTTCTGAAGTGGTTACACCAATGACCACTGCCTCCTGCGGTGCATGTGAGTTCTCATCACTCCACATCCTTTCCAACACTGGGTGTTGCCATGCTTTAAAATCTTTGCTAAACTGGCGGAGTGTGATGGTATCTCATTGGGGTTCTGATCAGTTTTAAGTCATCCTACCACGTGTTCATTTAGATTGCTAATGAGAGCAAATTAAGCTATTCATTTCACTCAAATGATGACAATTCTCAGCTCTTTCACTTCTTACAGCAAAGCTGTCAGGGGCAGGGGGCAGCAACAGGGGGGAAATAATCTACAGAGGCCCAGAACCATCCGAAACTGACTGTCAGGCTTGCCTCCCTCCCGTCTTCGCCAGGCTCCTGGGCAGGAAGGGTGGCGCCTGGCCCTCTTCCCAGCCGTGTAAAGGCACTTGCTGAGGCATCCCTGCACCCCATGGGTAGCGGAATGCTGTGAAATGGAGACTCTGTCCTTTGTTTCAGATCAACATCACAAACAGCTGTACGTTTTCATTCTAGTATTCAAAACTGGGAAAGGGTACAAATGTGGAAGTCATCCTATACCTGCAGTGCTATTTGCCTTGGCTCTTCTATAACTGTGGTTAGTGTTTTTAAAGCCAACTTCAAAAGATCTCCAAACACCCAAAAGTAGTTAAGTTTTTATGTATACAGGTATCATCTGAGCTAACAGTAGCCCCGGCCAAAGCCTCAGAAGGGATTCTCCACACTGCACCACAATTGAGGGGAGGAGCCTGTATTTTTTAATTTCCCAAATGTTCTTCGCTCTTTTCTACTTCATCTGTAGAAGGGCTGTCTCTTTTTTATCAGTTACTATTCACCAGTAGAGCAAGTTAGAAAAGAAGGAGAAAGTTTTAGTATCTTTTCTTCCTCACTCCCTCTATCTGCCTATTTGTAATTTCTGAAATACCACAGACGCTGCTAAGCTTGGCTACTTACCAGTACGCTAAAGGAACAACCGATCATGAGTAAGTAATTCAGGCTGGCTCCAATTAGTCTATCCTCTCTGTGCTAGTCACTGAACCAAAGCTTTAGGTTGAGGATATTTTGAAGAGGCTGCTTAGTTTTGCTGCTGAGCTCAATTCCACCCTAAACCTTAGTGATCTCTGTGATCTAGAAGTTAATATTCTCAATACATAATCCTGGTGGCATACAAGGCAAATGCTTGAGGTAGAAAGACTGAAATGAGGAGTGACTCTTTGGAAATAGATGGCATGCTGTACACTGGTGTGAATGTTGAAACCCTGCCCCAGTCCAATGTTTTGTGGTTCAATTAACATCCATCAGTATCAGGGGTGGATTACCCAGTAAGCAAGGTGAAAGTTGTTCACTACAGATTAGTAAGTATGCACAAGTAAGGCTATGCTTACCTTGCTTACTGGATAATCTGTCCCTGTCAGGACTGTAAATTTGAAAAGAGCCTTTGATTCTGTAGGAAGGTGCTGTGGGGTTGGGAGAGAGACAGATGCTAGCCATACCTAGAAGTAGAATCTCTGATGAGGTGGAAAAAAATGTGAGATTGTTCACTACAGAGTAGTAGGAGCCCTGGTGGCACAGTGTTTAAGAGCTCAGCTACTAACCAAAAGGTTGGCAGTTCAAATCCACCAGCCACTCCTTGGAAACCCTGTTTCTACTCTGTCTTATAGGGTCTGTATGAGTCAGAATTGACTTGACAGCAATGGGTTCGATTATGGTTTGACAGAGTAGTAAGAAAACACAAGTAAGCCCGTGCTCACCTTGCTTACTGGGTAATCCGCCCCTGATCAGTGTAGCTAGCAGTGCCTCCTCCATTTTGTGGTAGAGTTCTCAGGTCACATGTACAAAGGAAAGCCCCAAGGGGCTAAAATGTTCCTAAAAATTCATACAGAGCAATGAATGCTAGGATCTCTGTTAGTTCAAAACCTGGTTTGTATCATGTCCTGAACATCACTGGGCTAGGAGAGAGGGTGAGAGTGGTGAGAAATCCCCTTCATTGAGAAACCTCTTGCCTCTACTTCCCTTTAGTTTAGTTCTGAGACATCCCATAACCAACTGACAAGTAATCATAGACTTAGCACATGCTTTGCAGCTGGTATGCTGGGAGTGAATACCCAATCTGGGAAGGAACACAAGAAGCAAGGAGAAAACAATGCAAGATAATCAATAAAGTACTTGATTACTAGGATAAAAAATGTAAGTATAATTGAAGGTTCAAGGCAGGAGTTCAAAGCACAGTCCTCGTCCCCAGGGATCTTAAACCTAGGGGGTTGGAGGATAATGAGACAAGATACATCTAATGATTAATATAAGC